GGCGCCAAATTTAATATCACTCAAATTACCCTAAGGAGTGAATTACTCTCTCAAATAAGAGGTTCGGTTGTAGTACTTAGGGATCGAATCCACAAGGAACTAAGGAACACAAAAGATATAATCCTTAGTGATTATGCTAGGATGATTTAGTTAAAAAGTAAATTGCAGTTGTGAGCAATGGTGAGTTGCTCAAGAGAATTGGTTTATGTTTTAAACAATAAAAGAAAGTAGTTAGATTCAAGGTTGATATTCAGATTATCAGGGTTATGATGCTACAGATGTCTTAATAAGTTGTTTGCAAGATATTAAAGAACTTCAACTCTTAGATAAGTCTATTAGCAATCGCTATCTAGACTCGTCCATTGATCTGACTGCCGGCAATATCGACCGATGTTTTGACAGCGATATCGGACGATATAGGTTGTCATCGATCGATTACTCTATAGGAGTATCGATCGATATAGCTTCGGATCGAATTGAATATGTGTTCACCAAGATCATAGACCGGCTCTCGCTCGTCCCTAGAGGACCTCAGCTTATGCTAGATGTTTTCAGGATGATGATTAACAAGTTAAATCATTCCAGGATCATACTCTAGTTAGCTACTCTAGAGTAAGCATTAGGGTTCATCAGGATAATGAATATCACGACTCAACAATCCATCGTTGGGGCTAATCCCTCATAACTATTTGAACCCCAAATCTAACAAGTGAATCTACTCAGACATGTCTAAGTGATTCATAGCATCAAGATAATAATAGAAATTCATAAGATTAGAAGATTGAACACTTGGTTCCTTTGAATAACAAATCTCTTTGTATATTCTTCTAAATCTAGAACTCTATAACCTTTGATGATAATCAGAATAAGATGAAAAGAATACTTTTATAAAATGAAAGAATTAAGAGTATTAAAAAGCATAAAAGCATAAAAAGTAGTAAAGCCTCTCAGCATGCTCTGCCAAAACACATAGGCATAACTATAAATATGAGTTCAATTAGGTTAAAAACTCGTTAGGGGCAATCTTGTAATATTGAGAGAACTTGGGCTTCAAGTCGGCTGAGTCAAACTTGTTCTTCAGCTCGATATCGATCGATGGTACAAGGCGTACATCGATCGATGGAGTATCTCGATTCGTCATCTTCTACGGAAGCGTCGTCGATCGATTACACAGGATGTGTATCGATCGATATGTATCTCTGGATATCGACCTTGTTGTCTGATCTTCATAGTCATCTCGGGAAAACTCTCCTTTAAACTCCATAAGGGCACCTAAATCATCACTTTACTCCAAAATGCTCTTGAACCTGAAAACATACCTAATAGACTCCAAAACATATATATATTATAAAATCATCTAAATACCATGGTTAAAAGTGGGTCAAAACCATAATAGATCATTCGCGCAGGGTCTCTTACGACCTTTGGCTGGAGTGGCTAGCATTGCACTAAGCGCCGGGATTCCTAGAACGATCACCCTATTGACCGGAGGAGGAGGCTCCAAGGTCGTAATTGGCTCGACCTCGGTAGGAACCAAAACCGTTTCGATCTCGGCGGGAACCGCGACAGTTTCGACCTCAGCAAGGGGGAACAGCGGATGAACTCGACAGCTCGATGGTGACGCTCACCGAAGGTTTCACTTCGGCACTCACCGCTTCGTCCGGAATAGCCTCGGCTTCTTCCGCAGAAATGGGCAGGTCCACCGGGGCTGCACAAGTCGGCACCGTAGTTTCCTCGGCATCGCTGTGATCCATCTCCTCCTGGAAGAAGAGGAACTCGGAGATGCGAGCATCCTGCAAATCCGCCGTAGTATTGTCACTAGCTAAGATCTCATGGCTTTGTTGATCACCTTGGGAAGAAGACATCTTGACAATTTTCTAGAGAGAAGTTGGAGAGAAATTTTAAAGATTGAAAATATGTGAAGTAATGATCCAATACTTATAGAAAAGAAGAGCTCATCTTTCGTAATGAGACGAAACGCAGCCGTGGATTTCGATTAAAACAACTCCATTCGCCCCCAAAAACCTTCTCTAAAACTTGCGAGCTGGGGGGCTAACTGTTGGTGTCAGAAACCGTCATCTTGAAATCAACGTCTACGATTATTTATGTTAAAGATCAAAATCATTACTTTCCGCAAAAATAAAAATACGTTTTATAAAACTCGAGAAGCCGTTTTATAAAATGTATAAGAAATTTCCGAATAAAGGAAATCTGCGGAAAACTTGGAAATCGTCATAGAAAGAACGCACCAAACGCCGATTGTCCGATTTAAGCACAAAACCACGAAAACCGCATCCGCCGTAAATCACGAGCAGGTTCGACCGAACCAAGTTCAACGTATGACGAGCCGAACCAACCGGTTCAGCTCCCTGTACGGCGAAGTGGTCGGTCCCGGACCAGCTCGCCGTACGGCGAGCTAGGTGGCATCGAGCCAGCTCGCCATGAATAGTTCGCCGTACGGTGAGCTGAACCAACCCGGTTCGGCTCGGCGTACGTCGAGCTGATTGTCCTAAACCTTTATCTCCCACGTCCTCGACTCAAGGCATACGTCCTTCGGCTTGATCGTGTTCTGAACCATGATTGAAACATCTCTCGTTTCGTCTCGATTCGTCCTATCGTTCAAGTTTTACGATAAAAACCGTAAAGTCTTGTTTTCGCGAAATAACTCAAGGAAATCGTATAAAACGGCAACGGTTAAACGAAACACCAAACATTGCCTAACTATACGATTTACTCAAGATTTTTCGTGAAAAATCGTAAAAAAATGCGTTTTTAATAAAACCTCGAGTAAATTGTAGAAAACGGCAACGATTAACCGAAACATCGATATTGCCAAACTTTGCGATTCATTCGAGAAACCTATTTAAAAAACGGCATCGCATAAGGAAACGGTCTCGTATAAAGTCGTAAAACGGTTTTTATCGCAAAACGGATCGAAAAGTCCTTAAACGCGATAAAAACCTATCTCGCGACTTTAACGAAGTCTAGCCAAAAGATACGACGACGTTTTAACGATTTACTCGCAGAAAGAAGATAAATGTCAAATTTGAAGATATATGTCAAGTCTGAGGATAAATAGAAGATTTCCGTGGGAAAAAAAAAAGAAAGATAAAGATAAATGGAAGATTCTCGATAAACTCGAATCTGGGCGAAATGGAAGGACTAAACCGCCTAGGAAGAGAGTATATAAGCAAGAGGCAGAGGACAAATTCTAGACCTAGAGAGGCGGCTGTTAGCTTAGGTGAATTTATGACTTAGGTGTTTAGACTAGCAAGTCGGATCCTTAGAACGTTTTGACGTCTAAGTTCCGCGATTCTCTTTGTAACAGCAGTCAATCTCTTATTCAATAAAAACTCTTACGCAAATTGTTTATTTATACTCTGTTCCTCGTTATTTTCGTTCATCCATATTCTGTTAACTTTGTTCTTTTTAGTGATTTCCACAAAGATACAAGACCTTGAAAGAATTAGGGTTTTCTCTAAATTTTCATATCAGACAGAAAATTAACAATGTGAATTTTGGTTCCCACAAAGAGATTTCATTGCTCTGGGAACTCCTCCTTTTGAATCCTTGATAGACAAATTTAGTTGCTCTTGTACTTTTTTTTTCCTATAAAACAGACTCATGTTTGAGTTTGTGTTCGCGTTTTAATTTAAAGTGCACACTTGGTGTTAAGTTATGAAATGTAAGATATGTTTATCTTTATATCATTTATGTTTTTTGAGGTCAGCAGCAAAGATCAATATGGTGTGAATACTAATCAAGTTTGTTACAGAGGTATCATCTATACTACAATTTGAAGAATGAATTTGCTTATTATTTATTTATTTACTTGTCAAATTTTCAATGATTTTAGATACTTTTATTTTATTTTTCATTCTCTTATGATCTTAACTAATTAGCCATTATTATCTTTAATTAATAAATAATTAGATGTATTGATATATCATTAACCATAAACTAAATTTAATTAATATATAATTAACCATAAATTAGAAAACAATTCATTGATTTGATGATTATTATTATATAAAAATAATTTATATTGATTAACCATAAAATAAAAATAAATTAACATATAACTACCATAAATTAAAAACCAATTTCATTGATTTTAATTATCATTATCAAAAATTAATTTGTATTACGTAATAAAGTCTTCATTAATATTAATAAATAATTATATTTGTTAATATATTATTAACCATAAATTAAAAAAAAAAGGCATTGATTTGATAGCTAATAATTTATGTTGTGTTATGCAAAATCCTTACATTAGATTTTTTCTGAAATTGTTAATTATATAATAAAATATATATTTATGAAGTGAATTTCCCCTTTGAACTCTCACATTAAAAGTTGAAGCGGCTAACGTCGTAAATACTCTTAACAAACAATTAAATTTACTAAAATATAAATAACTATAAATTAAAAATGAATTAACAAATAGTTAACCTTAACTAAAAGGAACCATTGATTGGATGATTATCGTTATCTTAAACTAGTTTATATTAATTAACCATAAACTAAATGCAAATTAATCTATAATTAACCATAAATTTTAAATGAATTTTACTGATTTGATAATTATCATTTATCTAAAAAACTATATTAAACATAAATTAAAAAAAAATCATTGATTTGATAATTATTCTTTTTTAAAAATATTATGTTATGCTATTCAAAATCTATTTTAAATTACATTTTTAAAAATATTTAAAATCATAAAATATAAATCTATGTATATATTGTCTATAATTTTATTTATACATTAATGTTTTCAAAACTATTTTACTCAATAAAATATAATTTTATTATATCGAAAAACTTTTTCATATGTAAGAAATTAAATATTTAATTTTTTATTTAATATTTCAAAAGCTTGAATATTTTCAGTTTAAATATTTATGTTACGATGAAAATAATGTATATATAAAAAGTTTATTTTTTAATTTTTATTAAATATTATGAATGTGTAAACAGTTATTTATTTTAATTGTCTTTGAACTCATGATATATTTACTTTAAAATATTTGTAAGATTATTATGCATGCAGATGCAGTCAAAACACCTGGTACACTATAAAGTTAATTACAGTTCATTGATTTTACAGATTATAAGAAATTTGGTTCTTTCTTTTCCAGTTCCTCACAATATTAAAATCATGTAATGTTGCAAAACCTATGTCCATGATCTTTCTCTGTCTCTTGTGTATATATTGCCAAGAACTTGATATTGCAATTCATCTTTAGCAGAACCATCTTTTCGTTTCGATTCTTCGTTGATGAAAATGGCCATGTCCTTGGGGCTCAATTTAGTTGATAGCTTTAAATGTTAAGACAAAAAAAACTTGGTGAAAAATACATAGAAGGCTTATAACTCTGCCAAAACAGAGTAATGAAGTCAAAAATGTTCTTACCGGTATCTTTGTCACCAAATTTATAGAGCAAGATGGTCGGAAAATCATCAACCTGTTATCAACACATCAAATAAGATTAGCTTTAGGAATTTGCCAGTCTTGGTTGCATGTATGATTTGATTCACCTGTAACTTGGTATGCTCATTCACAGACGCATCGATTCTTGCAAAAGCAAGATTCTCAAAGCCTTTGAAATGCTTATGCTTAGCCAATTTCAAAACTTGTTTGCTCCTCGCCTTTCAGTTCACACATCATTGTGTATGTACCTGTTTCCATGCTTTAAGTGTCGGTTTCAGTTACTAAAAAGTTTTGGTATAACAGAGAGGTACTAACCTCAAGAAGAACATTCTTGTGGCTCTATAATACCAATTCCTCAAAAGTCTTTCCTACCAGTCACTATGCTTCCATTTTCCTGCAGGTTTCATCAAGTCATTTCACCATGGCAAGTACATGGTTTCTCATAATGTCAAAGATGATATATGGTTCAACACTTACATTATCAGGAACTAGCTCTGACCAAGAGTAACGCAAAACAGAAACAGTTCCATCCGCAAGTCCTGAACGAAAGTCCTAATTTGCAAATCCAAGACGGATCATTTGAATCAGTTCTACACATGATACTTGAAAGAGCATGAAAAATAAACTTGATGCAAATTCTTACTTCTATACTGTTTGGTGATGGGTCTGATTCGAGAAAATACTTGGAGTTCGGGTTGTTATCAAAAGCAGCAACCTGTTGAAGAAAATTATATCACAAGCATCAGAAACTTACAACAGTTTTATTTGGATTATCTATTCCGAATAAGGTAGCTCAAGAATGGCACTGCATGGTTCTCATCTGTTATATCAACATGTATAAACATAAGTTGCAAGAAGAAATAGTATACATTAATAAAGAAACTAAAGAACTAACTAAATCTGGCCTTAAGATTCATCATACCTTATATTTAAATTTTCTTGCCAAATCTTCAAGAGGCTGAGCCATATTCTGAAAAACAGCAGCTTTGGAAAAAATTATAACCAAAACGAAGAAAAAATGAAGTTTTAGAATAAAAAATTTAATAGATACAAACTGAAATGACAAAAACTTTCTAACCTGAAGCTTAACAGGACTGGAATAAACCCAAACAATATTGCTTTCATTCAAGCTTGTAATCAGTGGAAACTTGTTGTTTCCTCTCTAATAGCTTCTTCTTTTTTGTAAGGTCATCTGTGTCCGAACCACAGAAGATTCATTATCAATATTCCGATTAACATCACAAATAAAAATCTTAACAAAAGATCAAACCAAATAGCAAGAGAGAATTCAGAAACCTTACCATATGCAGTGTATCTTTCAGCCTCAGTTTTAACCAAGCCTATTAGCAGATTATTAGTTTTGAGCTCAGGAAATAGAAGTTCCATACCAAAAAGTTATATTTATGCTAAGAAAGGAAGATTCACTATTAATTATACAGCTATATAAAGTTTCTCTATATGTTCAACATCAGGTCTGTATCCCACAATATAACATTAAGGACATTCCATANATTTATGCTAAGAAAGGAAGATTCACTATTAATTATACAGCTATATAAAGTTTCTCTATATGTTCAACATCAGGTCTGTATCCCACAATATAACATTAAGGACATTCCATAAGACATTACATGGTTTAAGGAAGGGATCAAGAAAAAGACAGCACCCATGGTATTCAACAAAAGAGTGTTTAGGTACTGTAAATATTTGCTTTTGAATGTAAACTGAGACAATGATGTTTACCTTATTCTCGACTCCACTAAGGCTTCACTTTTCTTGTTAAGATTCTTATCAATAACATAAACACCACACTCATACAGCCACACCATACCTTAATAAAATTAGATCTAAAACACTATTCTGATAAACGATTTCATTCTCTATTCAATATTCATAGAGTTTGTAACGGGAGGAAGAAAAACAAACCTCCAGTGATTGTAGGCTTTTGCGAGCGCTAAAACTTTATAAGAAATCAGAAACATAGGAGGCCGATGAGGATCTATCTCTAATATAATCACCTGGAACCTCAGAGAATATAAATTAAAAACCATATAAAACATCGATTCTATTGATAACCTCAGATCATATTTTAGTTACTTACACAAGTTTCTGTAAAGCCTCAGCCACCTGCAAAAGGTAAGAAACAAACATAAAGAACTCAGAGCTGAAAGTAGTGCAGATTGCATGTAATGTTGAGACAAACATTAAACGTTACTTAACCTAAGATACGGTCCAAATGTCTGGAAATGAAAAGATAGTTCAGTGCAGACACAATTTTGACCATCCGTGTGCTCTTCATGAAAAATGTATCTCAATATCTTATCTGCATAAGAGAATAAAACTAACTGAATAACGATTCTTACGCAACTGACGAATCAAACGCCAAGACAAGAACACTTACCTGATACATGAATGGAACTTATCCGACCACTAAATGTGGGACGCATAGCTACATCAGCTGCTTCATCAACACAACTGTTACTCCAATTAACGCAAAACTAAAAAGGAGAATTAAAAAAAAAAGGGAAAAAGAACAAAGCAAATGGGTCGTGTCATACTTTTGCAGATGCTTCTCCCAGTAAAGTTGTTGCCAGTCGGCAGGTGGTTCGTCACTGTTAATGAACTCAGGCCACCGCAGCTTAAACAGAAACTTCCATGAGCTACCGAGTACATCATTTCCGAAGTTTAAATCATTTCTCAGTTGTTGGAATAACAAAAAAAAATAAAGGGAAATGATCAAACCTTGGACGTTTTCTCCCACTAGCCAAGCACCCATCACCAGTTTCATAATTATCCCAGCACTTGAACGGCCTATAAAATTTCAATTTGATCTTCATCCATCCAATTCAAAACCCCAAATCTCCATAAACTGATTAAAAACACTCTAGAATCCGACTCACTCACATGTGGGTCTGGAAATTATGCAAGGCTAATGCAGGTAAGTGAGAGATAACACCATCAGTCAACTAAGATGGAAGCTCGTACACATCAGGAATTGGATTATCGCCTGGGAATACACAAATCACCAACTCAAATCAGTATCAAGTTGGCGCAAGAAAGCTTTGTTCGGATCTTTCAATATCTTATATTGTGACCTTGTAGAAGCTGAATCTTGAGGGATTGGATGCAGAGAAACGCAAGCGAAGAAGATTTCTTGATTGCCGAGTGCTTATCGCTGTGCAAACTCAAATTCTACCGTTCCAGCCACTCTCTCTGTTTGTTCGAAAGGGGAAGGAAGCACCCAATCTGCAACAATACAAAATAAATAAATAATAATCATCATGAGAAGTTAAAGCCGGAGAAATTTTCAAAAAGGCCAATTGAATGCTTCCCAGTGGAGTAGTTGGATAATCATGGGAAAATTAAGAGTTAATCACATATTAATGTAAGACTCTGGTGTCATGGTGATCGGAATGGCGTTCCAGTTTCTGAACATTTCATCAGCTTGAAGAAGATCGCCGAAGAACAAAACGAAACGATTCTATGTCGTTTCACTTTTCTTAGGGTTTCCCCGTCCAGTGGGCTAAATGGACCAAAGAAATCAAATCTAAGAGACCCAAAAAATTACAAACTTAAACCAAAATTCAGATGCTGACATGGCGAAACAAAATATCGTGATTGGCCAATTATTTTTAATGACGTGGACACCCTATCTAAAGTTTATATTGGCCTTCTATTACTTAGAAACTCTAATAGCTAATTCTTTTTTGTAAGGTCATCTGTGTTCGAACCACATAAGATTCATTACCAATATTCCGATTAACATCACAAATAAAAATCTTAACAAAAGATCAAACCAAATAGCAAGAGAGAAATTGAGAAACCTTACCATATGCAGTATCTTTCAGCCTCAGTTTTAACCAAGCCTATTAGCAGATTATTAGTTTTGAGCTCAGGAAATAGAAGTTCCATACCAAAAAGTTATATTTATGCTAAGAAAGGAAGATTCACTATTAATTATACAGCTATATAAAGTTTCTCTATATGTTCAACATCAGGTCTGTATCCCACAATATAACATTAAGGACATTCCATANATTTATGCTAAGAAAGGAAGATTCACTATTAATTATACAGCTATATAAAGTTTCTCTATATGTTCAACATCAGGTCTGTATCCCACAATATAACATTAAGGACATTCCATAAGACATTACATGGTTTAAGGAAGGGATCAAGAAAAAGACAGCACCCATGGTATTCAACAAAAGAGTGTTTAGGTACTGTAAATATTTGATTTTGAATGTAAACTGAGACAATGATGTTCACCTTATTCTCGACTCCACTAAGGCTCCCTTTTCTTGTTAAGATTCTTATCAATAACATAAACACCACACCTTAATAAAATTAGATCTAAAACAATATTATGATAAACGATTTCATTCTCTATTCAATATTCATAGAGTTTGTAACGGGAGGAAAAAAAACAAACCTCCGGTGATTGTAGGCTTTTGCGAGCGCTAAAACTTTATAAGAAATTAGAAACATAGGAGGCCGATGAGGATCTATCTCTAATATAATAACCTGGCACCTCAGAGAATATAAATTAAAAACCAAATAAAACATTGATTCTATTGATAACCTCATAGCATATTTTAGTTACTTACACAAGTTTTCTGTAACGCAGAGCACATTCAGAAGCCTCAGCCACCTGAAAAATGTAAGAAACAAACATAAAGAACTCAGAGCTGAAAGTAGTGCAGATTGCATGTAATGTTGAGACAAACATTAAACCTTACTTAAGACATTACATGGTTTAAGGAAGAGATCAAGAAAAAGACAGCACCCATGGTATTCAACAAAAGAGTGTTTAGGAACCGTAAATATATGCTTTTGAATGTAAACTGAGGCAATGATGTTTACCTTATTCTCGACTCCACTAAGGCTTCACTGTTCTTGGTAAGGTTCTTATCATCAATAACATATATACCACACCCATACGGCCACACCACACCTTAAGAAAATNGATCAAGAAAAAGACAGCACCCATGGTATTCAACAAAAGAGTGTTTAGGAACCGTAAATATATGCTTTTGAATGTAAACTGAGGCAATGATGTTTACCTTATTCTCGACTCCACTAAGGCTTCACTGTTCTTGGTAAGGTTCTTATCATCAATAACATATATACCACACCCATACGGCCACACCACACCTTAAGAAAATTAGATCTAAAACACTAATATGATAAACGGTTTCATTTTCTATTCAATATTTATAGAGCGTGTAATGGGAGAAAAAAAAACAAACCTCCGGTGATTGTAGGATTTTTCGAGCGCTAAAACTTTATAAGAAATTAGGAACATAGGAGGCCGATGAGAATTTGTCTCTAATATAATCACCTGGCACCTCAGAGAATATAAATCAAAAACCATATAAAACATCGATTATATTGATAACCTCAGAGCTTATTTTAGTTACTTACACAAGCTTATGTAATTCAGACCACATTCAGAAGCCCCAGCCACCTGCAAAAGGTAAGAAATAAACATAAAGAACTCAGAGCTGGAAGTAGTGCAGATTGCATGTAATGTTGAGACGAACATTAAACGTTACTTAACCTAAGATACGGTCAAAATATCTGGAAATGAAAAGATAGTGCAGTTCAGACACATTTTTGACCATCCGTGTGCTCTTCATGAAAAATCTATCTCAACGTCTTATCTGCATAAGAGAATAAAACTAATTGAATAACGATTCTTACACAACTGATGAATCAAATGTCAAGACAAGAACACTTACATGATACATGAATGGAACTTACCTGACCACTAAATGTGGGACGCAGAGCTACCTCAGCTGCTTCATCAACACAACTGTTACTCCAATTAACGCAAAACTCAAAAAGAGAATTTTTTTTAAAAAAGGGAAAAAGAAAATGGGTCGTGTCATACTTTTGCAGATGCTTCTCCCAGCAATTTCCATGAGTTACCGAGTATATCATTCCCGAGTTTAAATCATTTCTCAGTTGTTGGAATAACAAAAAAAAAATAAAGGGAAATGATAAAATTAGGCCTGGGCATTCGGGTACCCGTTCGGGTCCGGGTCGGTTCTTTCGGGTTTCGGGTCTTTCGGTTTTGCAATGTGAAGACTCAATTGGGTATTTATAAATTTCGGGTCGGATTCCAGTCGGATCCTAGCGGGTTCAGATGGTTCAGTTCTAAATTTGAATAACCAAAATGTAATCAAATACTCAATGTAATCGTAGTTACTTTGGTTAAATGTATCCAAAGTAGTAGTTCGGGTCTAAAAAGTAACCAGTGTAACCATAAAACAAATACTTAACTGAATACTTAAAATGAAATTGTAACCATAAAAAAATATTTAATTGAATACTTAAACTGAAAATTTCATTACATTGTGGAAAAAGGGACAAATCATACATACTGGCGATGATTTAAGCTGAAGATAAAGTTTAAATAACCATGTGAAACAACAACAACCAAACACACTTAAAAAACTGACCAACACTGAAAAAAAAACAGAAGAAACCAATTACAATCGACCAAGCACATCCTTCACTTGGTTCCAACCTCAAAAGCTCCTTTTGACTCACTACTCTTGTGTTGCTTGAGAATCATACTCTGAAACAAGTATAAAAGAAAAACAATGGTTAGAAACTTACGAATATAATAGAAATGTTATAATTGATAAGTTGTTAGTGATATACCTCTCTTGAGCTTGTCTTCATACTCTAGTTCACCAAGAATTTGTTCCATTATCACTACTATGCCTTCATTGCCACGAATGTCTGCCTTCATCCATTGCTCAGAACACATCAGAACTTCAATCATGTAATGAGTTAGGCAACTCCTATAAGAGTCAATGATTCGGCCACTAGTGCTAAATGCTCTTTCAGAAGCAACATATGACATTTTCATGGCAAGGACATCACGAGCAATTTCTGCAAGAATAGAAAACTTGGAACTATTTACCTTCCTCCAAGACAGAACATCAAACTTCACTCCAACCATGGTCCTCGGATTGACAACACTCTCTTCTAGATAAGTTTCCAACTCATCTTTGACTTCTCGAACTTCTATCAGATCAACCAACTCTGCATACATACAATCCATCCTCCCATCCCCCCAAATCATCAAGCAAATCGATCTTCTCAAAATGTTGACTGCTCTTGGCTCCCAAATGATGAAGTTTGGGTTGACTAAGATGGTTGATTACCTGAACCAGTATCAAACCGAGCACTGTACTCTTTGAACAAATCTTCAAGAACTACCATCACAGACTTAAACATTTCATTAGCATCAGTGGTATATTTACCATAAAGTTTTTCGAAACACATCTTGGCAAACTGCATCTTTTTGTAGGATCAAAGACACTTGCTACAATCAGTATCTTGTTGATGTTCCTCATACCACACCAGTACTTATCAAATTTCTTAACCATCTCCTCAGCCTTTGCCTTCAAATCCAAGTCTAAAGTATTAGTCAATCCTATCAAGTTCTTCTCTATTGTTACTATCTCACCGTAACACTTATTTGGAATTCAAAGAAGTAGATGCTGATACAACCAAAGTGGAGCTGTAGAATATTGTGAGGAACCGCACTAACCTCTCAGTCGCATTCCAGCCAACGATCTCAGGAGGTCCAACGCGTTTGATTCCATCCTCAAACTCCAGAAAGTGATCATTGTAGAGTATGTCCTCTGCCTCCATCTTGTTGAATGCAACTCTGAACTCAAGAGTCTTTGAACACATCAAGTAGGTAGAGTTCCAACGAGTCTTAACATCTAAAGGCAAACTTCCTCTTATTAACTTCTCTGAATCAACCCT